GGAACACGTTGTAGGTGACAAACCGGTATTCTAGAAGATAAAAGTGCTGTCTGTTCTTGAAATGATAGAGATTAGTCCTGATAGGATATGAATGAATGTGGAGACACGGTATGACTTTGCTTAAGACGCTGCTCACTATAGCGATGTCTGCAAGGTACATGTTTACCGAAATGGGAGATATTCCTATGGTTGGCATGAAGGAAGATTCGGTGTCTTCATGTGAAGATGGACTGTTGAAGTAGTATGTCATCCATTTTTTGGACATTTTGACGCTCTCTGTCGCATGAAAGCATCGATATTTCTTATCTTTCAATGAACTAAAATTTATGAGCGCATTCTTAGAGTGACCTCTTCTCCCATTCAAGTTGTCGACATAATACTAGAGTAGTCATCTAGACGGCTTCTACGCGATTTCGGTGTGGATATCAGTCATGGTATTTAGTGTCTGTTGAGGAAGAATGTGGGTTTAGTCGTAAAGATAGGTACTTGAAACGGTTTAAAATTGCTTTTATGATTCCAGTAGGTATGAAGAGGTTTCGTTTTCGATTATAGCGTTTATGATAATAAATTATTACTAATACGTGCTCACAGTGCTGTCCGCTCGGTTATCCGCTAGTCACATATAGAGAACTGATCACGTCTTCACGGTAAAAGAAAAAAAGGTTTCAAATTTGTTGAACAAACCCATCAGTAGTTACCTAAATTGGACGATGAATGAATACTCTTTGTAGCATATCATCAACAGTTTCGTAAATCGAATAATGATTCGGCATTCACTGTGTAAAATCATGATTAGCTCCTCAAGTTCGATAAAGACTCCATACTGATCGTAGGAAACCAGTAGTAGTTTCGCAAAACTTAATAATAGTTATGTATCGATCGTACGAAGCCATCAATAGTTTGGTAAACTGTAGAATGGTTTCGATCGGCTATCGGAAACCTTCAATGGTTCCGTATTATGCCTCCGAAATCACTATATAATTTGCGGTACTTTGGTAGGCTTCGTAAAATGTATATGAAACCTTTAAATGTTTTACGAAACTATTGGCAGTTTTGTAAGAAAAAAATACAAAACTGTGGAGGGTTCGGTACAGGATGCACGCAATTTTCAAAGTTCGGTGAAAAACCTATTTTTTTTTAGAGTGAATAGTACGGAATGAGATAATTTATTATTGCTTTATAGATTGATAATGACAGCCAGATGTAAATATTATAATGGATTAGAAAGTTTTATTGTTGATTTTGTGTTTGATTTATAAATAACTTTAAGATTACTTTCAAAAAATAAAGAGCATGAGAAATCAAAATAAATTCGAGAAATTTCTTTATTTCTATACAATACTTTTTTTGGGCCCGAACCTGGACCTGGAGTCGATAAATAAAAATTTTCATAGAAGTCTATTGAAAACTAAGTCAAGTCATACATACTCCAAATGTTTTGACTACCCTGCCTTTTAGTCGAAAATCTCTGGCACAGGGTCATGCAACTAAATGAAGTCGATTAAAGGGTCACTTAGATGGTGAAAAGGCAACTTCAGATATTGTAAAATGCTTCTGAAACACAAAATCACATAAGACTAAAGAATGGAAACGGCGTTTTGACTGACCTTATTTAGTGGCGTGATCCTATGCCAGATATTCTCGATGAAAAAATAGGGTGATGAAAACATTTGAAATATATACGAGTTGACTCAGTTTTCAATAGAGATTCCAAATATGTAAAGATATCCATAGATTTCTATGAAAATTTTGAGAGAAGTCAGTTTCGAAGCCGCTGGTCAGAAAATATTTTACTAGTGAAAAGAGACTCCTTCAATGTGACTGTTAAACGCTAAAAACCGCAAGTCTCTACCTTGTTTCTATCACAAGTTATTCAAAAACTAGTCACACGCACGGACTTTTTGGATGAACTATAGTCTAAAAACGTTTTCCGCGGTTACATGAATCATAATACGAAAAATCTGTGACTGTTTGCATCTATACTGATATGCATCCGCTTCAGCAAAAAATCCTGGCTACGGGCTGGACTGTGCGACCGTTCTCTTATCTCAGTCTATCCAAAGCTACCAACTTTAAATAATATTCGTTTCGTTTTCGTTGAGATCCATAAACAATGCTCGAAAACAAAAAAAAACAAGAGAAAGATAACATGATAACAAGGTATTACATGCCTATTATATATATATAGTATCATATATTCATTGAGAACCAGCCTGCAGTTGCGGAAAAAAATTTATTCTTTTCACGAGCAGAGAATTTTGAAAGATGCAATTGATATTTCAACTCAGTTTCTTGATATTATCATTTACTGTTGTTCATTGTAATAATGTCTTTGACCTAGCCAACGAATATTTAACTGTACAATTTAATTTATCCAATGGACAGATATTATCATTGAATTATAAGTCTCAAATAGTGACCATCATTAATGAAACAAGTATGATTTATTTAGATAACCTGCCCGTAGATTGTTCGAAATTGCTCGATTATAAGCAAGATACAAATTCAATTAATTTTACTTATTCTTGTCTCAATGAAACTAATTATCAATTCACAAATATTTACACTTTGAAATCGCAATGGGAATTCGTAGAAAAACAAATTTATATCGCAAATATCGAGAACAAAATCATCACTTCCCTACAAACAACATTTACCATTACTAATCGAAATGTTTCATCTGTTTCAATCATTCAAAATCGACAAGATACGAATCGACAGCATACTATTTTCTTACGCACCAACTTTACTTCACTGGGAATATTCGCTTCCTGGCAAAATCCATTTGGTATTTATTCTGTGCAATCGAATAACCTCACTATGACAAGTTCGCATCCAGTAGGAATGTCTGCACCTTATTTAAGTGACGGTTTTCTTATCGGTTTGTATCAATTATCTCCATATTGGCATATCCCTGATATCAATTACGCCGAACGAGAAGCGTATGAAAAGTCAACTAGATTTTTCTTGCCAGTTCCTCGACGTGAACAATCACTAAAACATACGGCAGGATGGGATAGTAATGATTATCAAATAGATATTTCCACTCAACATGGTATTGATCAGTATAGACGTTTGATTGATCGTTGTTCTCAACTAGGAATCAAAAGTATTAATTTTGCTCCATCTAATAATAATGTATCCAGTCGACAAGACTCTACAGATATTTGGGGATGGGAGTCTGTGCTATTCTTAACGTTAGGACAAAAGATTCGTTTAGAACAATGGAAACCTATTCGAGATTCTCTTCCACTCTCCGTTGCACAAATGTTAGATTATGCTCGATCAAAACAAGTCAAATTAGTTGCATATGTTTATCCACAATTAGGTTATAGATCGAAAGGAATCGATCAAGCTTGGTTATATTCAAGTTCAAATTGTAAAGATATGTGTGCGTCACTGGCTAGCGTGAAATTTCAAAAATATTTTCTACAATTATTGATCGATTTTGCACAAGTGACAGGTTATTCATTTCTTTTTCTATTTACAAAACGAAAACATTTTCTTTCTAGATATTGCTGGATATGCGTGGGATTATAATTTCTTCTATGATCCACGATACAGTGAATATAGTTCATGGCGAGGTTGGCAATGGATTCGTACTGAACTACTTCTTGCTTTACCACATTTAATCATGGATCATCGTCAAAATTCACAAAATGATGGTCCATGGTCATGGGTAAATTTAAATGGTTATACTGCTCCTTTGTTAATGGATGAAAATCCTGAAACATATCCTATTCTCTATCCATCGTTGCATACAGATAAAATCTCCGCCGATTTTATGCGTCAACAAAATAGTGAATTACGTATCGAACATTTTGCATCGATGGATTTCATACCTGGTTTTCTTGCACATCAAACAGAACGATATTTAACAGATGGAACTTTATCATGGCTTGATAATAATGTACGAGATTTTGATCTGATGGGATTATCCTATACATTACTATCGAATATAGCTACAGCTGGTTTAAATCCTATTCATTCATATTTACCAGCAAGAGATTTAGAGGAATTCAATTTAGTACCAAAAGAATTGCTACAATTCTGGTCAAATTGGCTACAATGGACGGATGGACATGTCGAAGAAATTCGAAATGGTATACCATTTAACAATGAACAAGATTGGTCGTTGATGAAGTTAAATGGTCTTGATGGATTTTTATTTTTATTCAATCCAAACTATCAACAAATTAATAGAACAGTTATCTTCGATGGGAAACTGAATTTACAACAACCTAACATCAGTGGTTACTGGTTAATCAAAGAAATCTATCCACAGGAGAGATTTTTAACTATTATCAATTACAATATGAACATGACATTTTTATTAGATGGTCAAAGTGTTACTGTTTATCAAATTATATTTACATTAACTGTCGATCAACCCATCATTGTTGGACTTACTGGAAATGCTTCCATAGTTAATGAAACTATTTTAAAATTAGATAATGTTTGTGGAGAAAGTGGAACTGAATTAGCACATGAGATAGTTATTATCTTACCTAATGAAAGATTGATTGCAAATGTTTATTTAAACGGAATAGAGAAGAAATTTCAGCAGAAAGGTCAATTTATTTGGTTGACTGAATTTGTATCATTTCCTGGTTTATATTTACCACGATCTGCTCAAGTTCGAAATAACACAATTATTATCAGTGATTTATTATTACAACAATTACGCAAACGTCAATCTGATTATCCTATTCGATGGTCTGAAAAAGAATTGAACGATGCATCATGGTTAGGACCACATCGTCTTTTATTATTTATTTGTATTCTCAATCCTAATGATCAGTGGCAAATAACTGCCCAAATTAACAATAATCCTATTGTCGTACATAAAGGATATAATACTCGTGATCATATTGTTAGAGATCGTTTTATGGGATTTTACATGGATTTAACTAATATTGTCACGCAAGCAAATGTAGAATATCACGTGTCATTAGATTTACCTCAACTTGATCCTGGACAGTATCAAGGATTATTTTTAGAAAACATTGAAAGAATTCTTGTTCCACCACAATAAACTTTTTCTAGTATAATATAGGTGTGTATGCTCACACTTTCATTTTGATGAACTGAAAGAGATTTTAAACGTATTTATTGAAAAATATTTTGCTTCTTCGAAATAAATTTATTTTATATGTGAGAAGATGGAATCGTGAATGTAAAATAATTATTTTTATGATGATCATAATCGTATTCCAACCGTCAGTAAAATGAGAATGAAATCTTAATTGCAAATTACTTGAAGATGAGAGTGAAAACGAGTGAAAATGAAAAGCATCATTTGTATCTTTAATACTTTTCTCAACACTAAAAGAAACGTTCTTCCAATTGTAAAAAACGCCATGCAATATACACGGATCTCTGGTGTAGCATGAAGAAATCTTCTATTTGTATCGATAGATGGGCTCAGGATCCGGTCAAATGGAGGAGAAGGTCAACGGTCTAAGAGAAACGTTTTCGTGATCAACAATTCCATAGACATCACATAATTTTTCAAAAAATTTCAAACCATTTTTCTTCAACAAAGCGAGTGGTTAACGTGAACTGTTTGCAAAGCTTGTTTAGCTGTTCCCTCGACTGAAGGAAGGATGATACGAAATAAAATGCGTTTGTTTTTGTCACAGCAGCAAAGATGAAAAGTTAAGAATCATGAAAAAAGGTTTCTGAAGTTTGGAAGTCTCATGACATTACTAGCTTTTGAACATTTTCTAAAGTGAGTTTTTCTTAGTCAAGATAAAAGAACATTTTTAAAAAGTAACTATTTTTGTATAAAGTTTGAGAAAACGTTTCTGAGGTTGAAGAATTGATTGAGATTATTCGTTTTTGAATACTATTACAGATGTTTTGTCTTTAATAAAGAAAGACCTGTGCTAACGCATAAGACGATAACAAAATGCTCTGGAGCGATTGAAGGATCATATGAAACAAGTTAAGATTATAGTCATACAAATGGCTTTGTTTGCATAGTTTTCAATAGCGAACTTTTATTGTAGCAATTATCTGTATTTAAAAAGAATGCATCTAGTCGTCAGTGGTGTCCCCATGAAATACCGAAGTTTTTTTATAAGATCTCACATGTGTTTTCTGCAAATTTTAAAAAAGATTTCGATTGCAAAACTTTGAATATGACATATATTTTGTAAGAAAGATCACGAAATTCAATTTATACACGGTAATTGACGACAGAACCTGATCTACGGTGTTTTCATCGAGACCTATTTTCGTGTAAATCGAATGGTAATTTATTCTATATTTTATTCTACTTTTGTAAAGTTTAGGTAAAGATTTTTGTCGTTGGATTGCAATTCAATATATGGACAATTTCTCAAAGACAATACGTGCTTATACAGTTGGAGAGATAGAAGATTTCGTAGATGGATTGGAAAAGAGTAAATACTCAGGAGCTGCAAAGACCAGAAGCCGAAAAGACAACTTTGCGTAATAGATGTTCTTATAAAGAATCTGGACAAGTTCCGTGGATGCATTCGTTGAGTTAACTGTCACGATTGCAAAAATAAAAACTATCGAATATATTGAACGATAAGTGTTTTGAAGAACACATTTTATCGTTTCTACATTTGACTCTTAATATTGGATCATCTAGCACATGTAATTAACGTTGTATCTCTTCGCAAACTCGGATAGTTCTAGAAGAAATTTTGAACAAGAAAATTCGGCGTTATAGATTAAACTAGGTATGCACACTTCAATAAAACAAGCAGTGAGGAGTGATGGATGGCAAAGATGTCGACGATTGACTGCGAGTTGTATTCAATGGATGATATGAAAGGGTTTTATTATTAAGCTAATAAGTTCAGTTGTGCTATAAAATACTTACCAATAAAGTAATAGTAGTAGAAAATAATCAGATCATAGTCAGTCGAG